ACCTTGGCTTGAGGTAGTATAGCTGAGAGCAGAGATTGGTCTCCCAATCTGTCCATCAAGGAGTTGAACAAGATGCTATTAGGGCCTTTCCTGCTTTTGGATTCAGTAATTTAGTGAATTACCTTGGCACGAGCCAACTAGCCCCTCTTCTCTAACAATCTCTGAGTTTCTCCTCCTAGATTCTTGGGCTAAGCAGAGCTCAGATCAGGGACAAGTCCCCACCCCCATCACTACCAGCCCCACTCCTGTCCCCACCTCCCAGGGACAGATGGGTGGGTGGTAGGAGGCAGCTGGGCCTTGAGGCTTGCAGTGCCCCAGGGGAGAAAATTATCTGAGAGTTCATAACCCACTCTCTGCCTTCCAGATCTTGAATTAAAGGCCCCAAATGTCGCAGTTCCAAGGAGCGGGGGTTGGATAGTGCCAAGAGACAGACAGGGTGAGATACTTTTTGGCCCCATAGCTGCTGCACAAGGGCAGAGACCTGGGGTGCTGAAACCTCCAGCACTGTCAGCAGGAAACCACTTGGGCTGAGACTGAAAAGTGGCGGCCTTCAGGCCATGTCTGACCCACTGACTTAGCCTGGAGAGAGTGCTACAGAAAAATTGGGGCAAATGTTTAAAATTCAAGATATTATAGTAAAATTGAGATTTTTGACTTTTCTTAAATAATTGGAACATCTGACCATACTGATTGCCTGCCCATCTCTGGGTTATAACACCCAGTGGGAGCTGAGTAGCAGCTGTCCCCATTATTATTTTATTTTGTAATGGGCAAATACATTTACATGATTGCACAAAAAAAAAATGTAAGTAGACAAACAATGACATTTCCCTCCCAGCCTTAGCCCCTTCTTCCCAGTGTCCCTTCAGTAATCTCTTATTTTCCTATGTAAATGTCAAAGGTCTCTTCATGCATATACAAACATATAAAATAGAGATATTTTTGATACTTAGAGCTTGACCCCAGGGGTGCTCTACTACTGAGCTGCATCCCAAGCCATTTTTTTTTAAATTGTTTAATTCAAGACAGGGACTTGCTAGGTCACCCAGGTAGGGTTCAAAGGTGCGATTCTCCTGCCTCAGCCTCTCAAGTGCTCGGATTAAAGGCATGGCCCACTATGCCCAGTTTCAAATAGAAATTATTATTATCAGCCCCTGTTTACCAAGTCTAACTCCTGTTCTGTCCCTGGCTTTTCCCTTCAAAGGCCTTTCTGTATTAGGACATGGAATGTTTACTGCCCCAGGCCCTTCTGTTGTCAGAGGGGCCCATGGTTTACTTAGCTAGTCTCCCGATAGGTATTTGGGTCATTCCCAGTATTTGTTGTTATAAATGATATTCTCGTGCATATTTTGCATAGATGCAAATATTTCAGTAGGAACTAAACAAAATTATGGAGAACTGGCCCAAGCAGAGGGCACATCAGGCAAGGAGTGAGTCCTCAGTAGGATCCCAATGTGAGGCTAGGTAAGGGATGATGAGGAGGCTATTTCTGAGTGATCTCCAATGTAGTCCAGGCACTACGCCTTGGGGACTAGGCAAAGGTTCCCAGATTTGCCTCTGTCACTTGCTAATAAGGCACTTCTCTCTGGGGCTCCAATGTCTCTGTCTCTAAAATGAGCGGGATTTGGGGAGGTGGGTGAGCTCTCAAAGGGCCTGTACAGTTGTGACCAGCTGTGGCCCCCTTCTCCCTCTATGCAAGCCAATGTCATCCTCTCTTAATCCTTTAAAAAAAATTTTAGGCAGGGTTTTACTATGTAGTCCAGGCTGGCCTTGCACTGAACTCTGACCCTCCTGTCTCAGCCTCCAGAGTGCTGGATTATAGGTATGTACCACCAAGCTCAACTTTCTCAGTTCCACTGCAGACATTGCCCAAGCCATCCCTATCCCCACACTGGGATACCACCCATACATCCTGTTCCAGTCAGAATCGCTAAACTTGTGGATCATTTAGAACATACCAGTCCGAACTCCTTCCATGCAGAGGCCCCTCTGCAGTACCCCTGACAGGTGGGTCACCACTATACCTGTCCCACACATCAGACCGACTATCAAATCCTTCCTCAATGCCACTTCCTCTAGTCACCTAAAGTCTAGTAGAGAGTTCCTGAATGCCAGCTTTGCTACTTTCTGGCAAATGGTCCTGTGACAGCACTTCCTTTGGACTCAGTTTCTACCCAAATATTGGCTGGTTTGAGGATAACAAGTGGCACTATCACTAAAGTTCTTAGTATGGGGGCTGACACTCTGATGGGCTTAATAATTCTGTAAGTCATTGCCCCACCTGAATATTCACCTTTATAAAATGAGGAGAATGATGGAACCTATATGGGAGAGTTGACCACTCATTCATTCATTCATTCAGTGATTGTTATAGAATACCTCCTGAGTGCCAGACATGGTACTAAGAGATTTGGTGAAGAAAATAGATGCCTTGTCCCAACCCTCATGGAACTCCCAGGCAATTCCAAACAGACAAACATAAGAAGACAAATTCCCAGTGCCCTGACATTAAGAAGGAAAAGACTAAGGTGTTGGGGTGGCTTAGTATAGGTGAGTGTCAGGAAGTCTTCTCTGAGGGATGGGGAACAGGGCACAGCTGGGTGGGAGATCGAGGAGGGCTTCCTGTGAGAAGCATCACCCCAGTTATTAATTCTCAACTACTATCCTCACAACAGCTTTAGGAGGAAGGTATTGGTTTTGTCCCATTTTACTTTTTCTCTACAGCTAAGAGAAATTAGGTGATTTACCCAAATGCCATGGAGGCATGAAGAGATGGATGAGTTTCCAACCAAGATTTCCTGGCTCCAAAGTATCAGACCTAAAAACTTGTCTTCTGTTGTGTGTTAGATCAGACCAATCTTGGGACTAAAGGTGCTGCTTCCATTCAGGCCCCACACAAGCACCTGTGAGAAGACAGTGGTCCTCTGCCTCTACCACTGATGCCTCTGTGCCTTCCATATATCTCCCTGCCAAAGGTTGTAGGACAGAAAAAGTCAGAGATGCTCCTTTCTGAATCACACTGGAATTCAGACTTCCAGACCAGCTGACACTCCCTCCTGTCTAAACATGGGTTGTCAGCCTTGAATACAGTCTGGAAAACTCCTTTCGTCCCTAATTCCTCTCCCTCTGTTTCCAGTTTTAGGCAACAGATGATATTCCAACATTCTAAGCATTACAGAGACCAAAACAGTCCCTGGACATGAAGGGGATGCCGTGCCTCAGGTCTGCAGATGGCTGCTCTCTCCTGGCCCAGGGCAGCTGTCTCCCTTTATCTTCCCTTTGTGCCACTCTGAGGCAGACCATCCTCCTCCCTCTTTTCCTCCTCTCCTCTTCTCCTTTCCTTAAGAAGTGCCAAAGCCTATCCTAAAGCCAGATGTAGGGCTTTAATTTCGCTCTAGCATTGACTGAGTGACTCTGAACAAATTAATTCGCTTTTTTGACTCAGTTTCTTCATCTACAAAACAAGAAGGAGAAATGCAAACTATCTCACAAATTTTGAGAGTAAAGTAAGTCAGTAATTGGCCAGTGCTTAGAACAGTGCCAGTCAAAGAGTTTGTATAATAAATGCATTCAATCTAGCTGGGGGGATATGACACCTAAGGGACTCTATTCTCCTGGGTCGCTGTTCTAATCTCCCTCTGGTCTCTCCATCCCAAGCTGCTTCTCTGTGATCACTTTTCTATTCGGACTGCTGATTTTCTTTCTAAACTGTAACGTGACCATGGCTCAAATTTTGCAACAGTTCCCCACTGCCTGCTGGATAAAGACCACCTCCTGGCCCCTCAGGATTTCATTCCTCAGACTCTCCAGCCCCATCTTTCCCATCGTCCCATCCCCTCTGTACCTGTGATCTAGACTTCTTGGAATAAGTGCCCTCAGTCTTGGGTGCTTGCTTCTCCCTCTTCCTGGTGTTTCCTGCCAGCTCCTTCCCTCTTGGTGTTGCCCTCTACTCTACCAGGGCTGTGGCCAGATGAAGGCAGCTGGGCTAGGGCGGGGTGGAGAGCACCACAATTCTTGGAGCTGCCGCATTCACAGCCTCCCAACGAAGACAATAAGAAAAGGAGCTTCTCAAGATCAAAGGAGGCAGTGTTACAATAAGTGAACACTCAGGAAACTAGAAAGTGGCTTGGTACGAAACTTGGTACGAAATCGTTCGTACCAAGCGATTGCTAAAAGTCCCCCAGCCCCTTCATTCCAAGACCCTGGCCTCCCACCCAGGTCGCTGCAGGGGTGAGATGGAACAAATGCAAGAGGAGAAGATAAGGAGTGGGCGATAAAGAAGTGGGGTCCGGGAGGAGGTGAGAGACAAAAGCATGTGGTTGGGGCTCCGTGCCTCCAAGGAAGGAGGGAGAGGGTGGCCTGGGATGCTGTTCCCTCGCTGGCCCCGTCCCTTCCCAGGAGGGACCACAGGCCGGGCGAGGTGGCGGCGAGAAGAATGAATCATTGAAGAGGGGAGGAGGAAGGGGAAGAGAAGGAAGAGGAGGAAGAGGAGGAGGAAGAGGAAGAGGAGGAG